TATGTTCAGTAGCTTCGGGAAGACACCTCACAAGACCACCATTGTCCATCTCCACACCTCTTATGATGGAATCCCCCAACAACAACTGCTTTCTATTAGGCCTCACCATAGTCTCCAAGCCTGTCTCCACAACACCACAAGCCTCAGTGCCTGAGCCTGTCTCCACAACACCACAAGCCTCAGTGCCTGAGCCTGTCTCCACAACACCACAAGCCTCAGTGGTGTGGGCCTGTCTCCAAAACTCCACAAGCCTCAGTGGTGTGGGCCTGTCTCCAAAACTCCACAAGCCTCAGTGGTGTGGGCCTGTCTCCAAAACACCACAAGCCTCAGTGCCTCTCTCCACAACACCATTACACTCTGAAAGTGCAGAAAATGAATTATGTAGCGCAACAGACTGTGCAAAATGCCTTTTATCCACAACTCTATACCAGATCCTACAGTAATCCATCTGCCATTCATAGTATGTCTCTTTGGCAGTGGTGCAGCAGTTCCAGCATGAGTTTGTTTACCACATACTTTACTAATCTTAGACTTCAAAAATACAATCTCCTGCCGCAAGATAGAGAACGGTCTACAGATTAGATAACAACCAAACCTCCAAAAAGTGGAACGTGAAACAAATGCATAGCAACTATTACACTGAACTAAGTCTGCCATTCCAATGAGGTGAATAAATTAAATCAAACGAATCTTAACTTTTTATTTATCCTCCTGAATACCTTAGATTACCTCCAGTTTATCTCTAGAATATCTCCAACCACACACTTAGAAGCAACACTCTCCAAAATATCTCCAACCACACACTCCGAAGCAACACTTAGATGAAGCAACCAAGCTATATTAGACAAGCTAATGGAACCAGGCCTTATATAACTCCTAAAATCACCACCCACTAGGAATGTTTAACACCTGTGTAGGCCTCTGCTTATTTGCAAACAATAGCTAATTAAACAGCAATCAATAATGGAGTGCTGCTTAACACAGAATGAGTTTATGTATTTCTGTTGTTTCCATATACATTCATTTAGAAGACTGAGATGTCATTGATCTAGTGAAACTAATTTTGGAGTGTCTTAACGTTCTGTTTACTAGGGGAACCCTTCCTCATCCACTGTTTATTATTGAATTTGTTTGTAAACTTTTTAGGAAGACAGTGGTTATACCAAACATGCGCAGAATTTGGATTTTTCCAGTCTACAGATTCGTTGTCTCAGCCTTTTTCTGGTTTCCCTCTAAGGTAGAGTACAGAGTATTATTCTCACCATGTGTTTTTTGTTTGTTTGTTTTTTTAGCATTGTATGTAACTTAGACTAAACAGCCCGTAAATCCCTAAATTCACACAAATGCTTGAGAATTGAAAAATTGCAAGAACAAGTATGTCTTGGTCATACAGAAACTTATTCTAAAGTATGACCAGTGTTAAAGAAAATACAACAAGAACAGCATCCTTAAACACACATTTTATGGTTATTGTTTAATCGGATTAAGCAGGAGGAGAATGTAGGTGAGCTTTCTAATGAATGCTATAATACATGTGTGGTGTTCCTCATTCTGTGTCTATATGATACAGTATATAGGCATGGGTCAACACACTCCATATTAACGCAATTAAAGATCATTCAAGGCTAGATGAAATAATTATCCACGTAAAACTTGTGCTTTAGACAAACCTTTACGGCCATGCAAGCTCTTTTAATATACCCCAGTACTGGTAGGTTATAACTCGTTGGTTTTTTTTTTGCTCTGGGATTAATGCACTTAATTGTGACAATCCGAACTGCCCATTGCTGCTCGGACTAATGCATCCTCATTAGCCCAAGTTGCATAGAGGGAATGGAGCTGCTGGGCACTCTCTAAAAAAAAAATAATAATAAAAAAAAAAAATTAAAATTGTTATGCTGAATGAAAGGCCAGTGCCAGTGAGCTCCAGACACTAACTGCTTTACTGGGTTGAAGCAGCTATGGTGCCAACAATGTGTCTTTTATTGTAGAATGTAGCAGCGTGGAGAGGATTTTGATGAAGCAGTTAGTGTTGTAAAAGCTGAAAATTACATTCTAATACAAATGCACTAGAATTCCAAGGAACCAGCAATATCAACAATCAAATATGATGATTGTGTGAATTTGAAGATATTGTGTGCAAGGTAATCAGTTTTTTCCATATATTTCTTTGTCTGCAGTTATTATGTGCAGCAATGCAAAGATATTTTTGGCCCAGGATTCAGTCTGTCCTCTATTACTGATGCTGTTCAACAAACAAATGAATATTATGGAGGACTTCATATCCAGAGCAGCAGAATTATTTTCCCAAATGGCCTAATTGACCCGTGGCATGCATTGGGGATTAATTCAAACATCAGCTATGATGTAGTTGCCATTCAGATGCAAGGTAAACTTTATTTGACTTTTTAGTATTCTTGATCTCGTATGAACTGTCAAAGTTTTAAAGGAAATTCTAGGCTGTTAGTGCACCTCTGGCGTCTGATCAAATAAACCTGTTTTTTTCGATTTTGTTTGGTTTGGTTTGTTTTCCTGTTGACTCTTAAACTGAATAAGTTTTATATTATGATCCAGTGTCTGCAACTCATTGACAAAGTTGTGTTTTTTGTTTCTTTTCTTATTTTTGTCTGAGAACGCGTGACCATGAAATCTGGGTTTTAATCTCTTAATTAACCACTTTTATTTCTGGCAGTAACACAATTTAAGTCAGAAAATGCTATTGTCTTGACCAGGTTTAAATGCAATTTAGTCAGGAAAAAAAACAACTTAATTTGATATAGAATCCATGAGATTGCAGACCGGGACTACTAAACGGCCAGAGAGGCTTCTTCCTTGTGCCAAATGCAGCACATCCACCAGTCAAGACAAATCCAGAATCCTGGCCTGCCGGTACTTGCACATGTAGAAAATTCAAATTATCTGTTAACAGTGTAGTCAAATTGCGAATGAATTATGTGTAAATATACAACAAATGGTGTGTAAATATAATATAATTTTGATTATTAATTGCCTTTTATATCGCACAAAATTATAATGCATTGCTTTACAATACTATAAAGGGGAAAATCAACAATCAATAAGACCATTACAAAATGTTACGAGAACAATAGATTGAGGAGCCTGCTTAGAAGTGCTTACAAAAGAAAGCAGTCCTGATGTCTTCTAGATTGTATTTCACCGTGGAGTGTGTATTTCCAAATGCACGTTTGCCACCATTGTTTCTCGTTTGTGTGTCTACTGTCACTGGCATCCTGGGCAAAATCACCAGTTTGTAGAAGCCCTTTTTCAAATTACGCCAGCTTTCAGGTGTTATGGGAAAGGGGAGAAATTGGTAGTGGGTTTGTGTGCTGCCCCTCATCTGTCTTCTCACTGGCTGACAAGTTATCCAATTTATCCCCAATCTTCTGCCAGCCTCAGTCAGGAACTTTTTTGTATTTAAATGTTTGTATTCCCTTTTTAAAGTATTTCTGCAATAATTAGAAGACCTACAATGATGGCACAAGAAGGGCAAGCACCCTTAACACGTTCTGGAATAAATAGCTCTGCAGTGCAATTTGGGGCAGACCATGTTAGAACACTTCTAGCCGCGCACTTATTTTATTTTTTCTGACTAATTGACATGAACCTTAACCACTCGTAACAAAAATAGATCAAACCAGAATGAGTAAGACATTTTGGGATATTGTCCTACACAAGTTCCCTCCCCCCCCTTTTGTGTATATTTTTTTTATTTTTTTTAAGAAGAGAGAGAACTAAAATTAGTGTTTTGGTTTTTTTTGTGTGTATTTATAGAAGTAGATGCTTTTTGTTGAGGCTTTTCCCATATAGCACACAGAAGTGAATGAAGGATTATCTTCAATTCCCAACTGAACCACGGAATGTGAGCCTGCCTGTTATAAGAAATCAGTCTTTTATTTTCTGAATTTGACAATAGTGCATTGCGCAAGTGAAACATTTACTTTTATGCGGTTATGATAATTGTCACCTAATCTGGTTGTTTAAAACAAAAACCATGTCTTTTATATACATATTTGTGTTTTATAGGGAGATGTTAGGAATTCTTCTGATACTATTTTTGTATACTTCCATCCATAGATGCTGCTCATTGTGCTGATATGTATCCAGAGCGACCTGAAGAACCATTGGCTGTGCCAGTAGCAAGAAGGTCCATCTTCACTCTGCTCACTAAGTGGCTGCAGTCATGAGCTGTGTGCTACTTTGTACGGATTTAGCTTGTTTAATTTTTGTCACATTTTATTCTGTAATGTCTGGAACATTCATGGAATAATATAAAGCACAAGTACACGATCTGTTAAATGAATCGACAGTGTTTATGCCATTTGTAATCCACTAAATTACAGAAAGTTTTATTGGATGTAATGAATAAACACTTATTTTTGCAAAATCACTTGCAGTATGAGTATATTTATAATCTTTATAGAAGGTGTGTGTATAATATACTTTATTTTTTTTATGCTATGTCTTTCTAGTCTCCTAGATATGGTAATATACTAAAAATTGGGAAAAATACACTCTCGGTATGGCTTGCCACTTTATACTAAATATTGCCTGACTGCTTGTCAGGAAATCTTGAATTCTGTGACACAAATATATTCTTGTTACGAGCAAGAGAGCGAACAATTAAAAATCTTATCCAGACTACTTTCTTCCATACCATTTTATAATCCAGTGTGGTGTTTGCCATATGCGCTTCACACAGGACTTGCAAAATGCTGGATTTGCATGAATCCTTACTGGTAGTTTGTGTTTTTTCATTTATAATTCCACAAGTCTGGCAAAGTAAGACTTCAGTAATGTTTGCAGAAACAAAATATAAATTTAAACTAAAAATAAATAAAAATTAAATGAATTATTTGTGGTGTATTTTGCAGGTTTCTGTAAAAAAACAAACAAACCCTCTTCTGGAAATGTGTAAGAATGTATAGATCTAACTGAGAAGAAATGTTGCTTTGGTGAGGGATAGTTGATCTACCAGCTATCTAGACTTTTTTAAATTGCAGACATACATTACATGGATGTCTGATTGCCCGCTAGCCAGATCCGTTGGCTTTTATGTGCGGTGCTACAGAATTGCAATGTATAGAAAACATTCAACTGAATATGTAAAAGTAAACTGGTTTGCACTTAATCCTCCCCCCACCACACACATTTATTATTATTATTGCCATTTATATAGCACCAACAGATTCCGTACCGCTTCTTTTTCAAACTATGATTGTAGATAAAATGACACAAAAAAATTGGTTACATAAGTATGTTAAAATATCTGGTTAAAAAAAACAAAACTGCAACTACAATATTTGATCATTCAGGTTTGAGCATGGAAAATACAGCATGTTAATGAGGACAGGTGAATTGGTCTGTTCTATTATTTATTCATTTATTCCCACAACCAGGATTGTGTTTTCACTTCTGGTGCACATGTCTACATCTCAAATCCAGTTTACTCGAATAAAAATATACTTTGCATGTTCCCATTGTTAGAATGTAACGTCTGTGCTGCCCTTGGAACTCCCTTCCCTCCTCCGTTAGATGCTCCACTCCTTCAAAAAATCGTTAAAAACCGACTTCTTCAAAAAAGCGTATCAAACTGTTAATAGCTCCCGACTGATTCCTCTCTTGCAACTGTCACTAGTCTAATACTATCCTTACCCTTTGTGTCATTTTACCCCACTCCCTCTAGCATGTAAGCTCATTGAGCAGGGCCCTCAACCCCTCTGTTCCTGTGTGTCTAACTTGTCTGGTTACAATTACATGTCCGTTCGTCCACCTATTGTAAAGCGCTGCGGAATTTGTTGGCACTATACAAAAACATAATAATCACCAGATTTACCTGCCTTTCCCTTATAGTTCTATCCAAACAGAGCTACACACTTTCAAGTATGCTCTTGGAGACACTCCATTGAAAGACATACAAGGAAGTCAGTTCAGGAAAATGTCTGCTGTTTATTAAACCGAGCAAGGTTTGGTAATAACACACAATAAAGGAGTTTAGGGGGAGTATCATTAATTATCAATCAAATATTGACCGCTATTAAGTCGCATCCTAAACAAGCTCATGCATATAAAGTGTTGACAAATCATTGAGGTAAAACTTATCTAGGGGGCATTACTAGGTGTAGAGTTTCTTAGAATAGGAGAGAACAAAGGAGGTCATGTGCCAAGACGATGTATGTAACATTGTGGCATGCTCAGGTGCAAACTATGTATGTATTGTCCTTGCCATGTACATTAAATAACAGGAAATAGGACTAGTTGGGGCATACAGAGAAGTAGAGGGCAGATTTGTATATTAATCCTTTCAGTGCTGGAATGTTAGCCAGTTTCAAATTAACTCTTTCAGTGATGGAGTTTTAGTCATTACACCCACCCGATCGATCAATCAATCAGGTTACTTGTGTGTTCATTGTGCCCTTTATTATGCTGCATGGACTGTTTTATAAGCATGATTGAAAAGCCATTTGTTTTGGGGGTTTTTATGTTTAGTTTGTCTAGTCTTTCAAAATGTTAAACCATTATTTCATCTATGGGGTATACTATTTTATTTTATTTATTTATATATATATATATATATATATATATATATATATATATATATATATATATTTTTTTTTTATATATATATATTTTTTTTTTTTACACCATTTGTACTTTAGCACTTACCCTAATATTTGCATTATACTGCAAACCTAATAAAACATTTTAATTCCCCATAAAAAATTCGATTTATTTTTTATTGCACTGGTTGTATATAAATCATAAGCAAAAATAAAATTTATATATATTCCTCATACTTTTTTTTTTTTTTTTTAAACATTTTGGTCATGCGCGGGGGCGTTGCAAGGATCAAATAACATCCAGGACTTGATCCCAAAAATTACTATTGGTCACCCCTTCCTAAAGCTCCACCTCTACCCTACCTAAATCTACAACTTAACATGCCTCTTGGCACACAGTTGCTTAAAGATACAGATGGGCAACCTCCAACATGCGGGCACATGCGAACAAGCATAGAATCTTTGCAATAGGAACACGGGATATGTGAACTCTGAGAACGGACAAGAGCTTAGAGAAACTAAATAACTTGCCCTTCTGTAAATCCCCACTCAGGTCTCAATAGTTTTTGCACTCTTGTGCCATTAGAGAGAGAACCACTTCCCAGGCATATCAGACTAATCCCACCCATAAGGGAAGTCCAGAACTGAAATGCCAGCAAGTTCTCTCTGCACAAGAGATACCGCAACCCCAGACTATCATTTCAGCCTACTCTGCGAGGTGTAGCTGATACCCCTCTAGGCACAGTTAGCACGTGGTCCATGTGTAGATTACCTTTTTGAACTTGGGGGAGAGCCAAGTTAATGCATTGCAATAAAAGCAGAGGATAGGAGAACTCTGATAATGGGGTGGAAAAAAAAGCTTAGAGGAACTTGGTAGCTTGCCCTTTGGCTCCTCCCAAGTTCAAAAAGGTATTTTGGTTCTGGACTTCCTTTACGGGTGGGATCAGTCTCAAATACTTTGGAATATGTTCTCTCTGTAATGGCACAAGTGAACAAAAAATGATTTTAATCCTGAGCAGGGATTTACGAAAGGGCAAGCTGATTTCCTCTAAGCTTTTGTCCATTCTTACAGTAATAATGTGCATAATGTATCAGAGCGACACAGCGTTGTGAAAATAGATCTGTTTGTGGTGTAGTGTTTTAAAGGGCTGTAGAGAGAGTGCATTTGTGGAGGGTACGTTCATATATTGCAAGTTCATTTGAGCAGGGAATGCTTCACCGCTTGTGTCTGATATATTGTATGTCATAAACTTGTCAATTATCTCCATTCTATGACTGGAAAGCGCTGTGGAGCATGTAGTAATTGCTATGACACTGGACAAGAGTAAATATTCCTCAATCACTTTTACAACATGTTCATATCCTGCTCGATTTCCATTTATTCCCTTTTCTCACCTAGCAAACATCTTCCCTGTTTCATACACAAGTGATTAATTCTAAAAAGAAATTCTGCGGCAAAGCTCTAAAAGTAAAGCGATCACCGTGGAAACCAAGAAATGTTCCTGCTGACTGCGCTTCATTTAGAACATTGCTCTAGAATGAATTGTTCTTTGTTACAGAACTATCACGCTATCGTAGACCAATGTACAAAACTCTTTTTTTCGTATAGTAAAACTGCATAGTTTTCTGTTGGTGTGTGGAGTATGGTATGTGAGTAGGGTGTGGAATGCTATTTCAAACTGCAATGCTACGGACTTTCATACAGCACTGTTCTGTTACTGGTAATTGTACGTCCGGGACACACAAAAGGTAAATGTGAATTATCACTATCTGCTATTTTTGGTCTTTTGTAATAAGACAGCATTCTTATATTCCTCCATAAATATCTTTATATGCTGACTATATTGCTTTGTTTGAGTGTTCCTTCAATATAACTCCACATGAAAGGCCATTTTACTTCAATTTTTCTCTGGTGAAAGAATTTCTGTGCGGTCTTAAAAGATGGAAGAATGTCATTATATATAACTCATTTTTTTTTTTTTTTACCCGTCATTTATAAGTCATTACATGTCTTCATCATCTTCACGAATTTCTAGGTTTTCAGGATAGTTTTGTGGTTTTTTTTGTTTTGTTTTTTTTTAGATTAATTTTAAAATTATAAATATGAAAAATATACATTTTAGTATGTTTGTGTATATATATATATATATATATATACAAATTATATTAAATTCCAATTGTGCATTTTCTGAGCAAGCAATGCCATAGGGAGTTGGAGAATACTGCAATATAAAATTTGATTAGATCTATATTTCAGAATGTGGGAGATCATAGATGGTTTGTAAAGTTTTGAGAGATTTAATACATATAATAAAATAGCAGAGATCTTATTATGATTATAGTATTCCCACTACTGAAAGCTTCAACTCCCAAATGTGCAGACAAACTGAATTTGTAAATTAGTTAAAGGACATTAATTTTAAGCCGGAATAGCTAACAATAACACTGCAGATGTCATTGCAGATGCTTTCCTCTCTATAGGAGTTTGTGGTTTTAAAATTGGTTCCCTTCGGTTTGGGGGTATTTGCAACTGTTTAAGATAAAAGTGGGAGATCTTTGTGCTTTACATTTATGCATGATGCATAAGTCTTCCCTATACCCGAAGACTGTAGCTGTGGCATCCCAGTAGCTCACTATTTATCTCAGGCTTTTTTTCTAATAAGTAAATCCGTTACACTAAGGATTTTATTTAGTCAAATTACCAATGACAATGTATATGAAGCAGTTTGCCATCAGTTTGAGTCCTGTTGGTCCATCAGAACATTTTCCCTTTAAGAGTCATTTGAGAGTCACACGCGCGCTAGCCTTGCAATCCTTTTCTTTGGGGATCTAAAGTAAATTAAACACATTTTTTAAACCTTTCAAGAATGGTGAGGACACTATATCATAAGTCTCAACACTACAATGTTTCTTCAATTAACTAAATAATTGAATGAAATTGTAGTTGAAACAAAAATGATTTATTAACTAAATTTGGTTCCTCAAAGTCAGTTTATTTTTTTATTTTTAGATGAACCACATTTGTTACATTTCTAGGAAATCCAAGAAAGTAAGAATAATTTTTAGACATATCTACAATATTATTATTTGTACATAATCACATCCCATACTGCCTATTAAAGCCCCTGTGAGCATCACCTTCCCACACTTCTACAATATCGCTTTCAATTTCATCTAGTCTGAATGACACTGACTTAGAGTGCTGGATATGTGCTAGGTTTGATATTAAACTGAGACCGCGCCAGATAACCCAAGACTCTGTTACGTCTGTCACATGTGCTCAGTGTGAGCCTGCTTTCATCTCTGGTTTTCTCTGGCAAATGCCAAACGTCCTGCAAGGTGTTGGGCTGTAAGCACAACCCCCACCTGTGGACGTCGGGCCCTCATACCATCCTCATGGAGTCTGTTTCTGACCGTTTGAGCAGACATCATTTTGCAGGGCTCTGGCAATGCTCCTCCTGTTCGGTCCTGCTGCTGGGTTGTTGCCCTCCCACGGCCTCCTCCACGTCTCCTGATGTACTGGCCTGTCTCCTGGTAACGCCTCCATGCTCTGGACACTACGCTGACAGACACAGCAAGCCTTCTTTCCACACCCCGCATTGATGTGCCATCCTGGATGAGCTGCCCTACCTGAGCCACTTGTGTGGGTTGTAGACTTCGTCTCATGCTACCACTAGAGTGAAAGC